ATAAAAAAAATGTTCGTATAAATTACTGTTAAAGACAATAAATTTTAGTAATTTTAGTTGGTTTTAAAATTTATATTTCAATATCATTTTCGCAATCTCAGACAAGGGGGTCTCAAATTGTTAATGACAGAGCGGTTGAGCCATTTGCTTTCATTACATTTCTCGTTTGTATGTCTTCCTTTTCATGAAGATCACATTGTAATGCAAATTAATTTACAACTTTTCAGCACTATTAATTTGCATTTTTAAAGATATTAAGTCATCAGAGTAGCATCTTTCTGATTTAATTATTGGGGGGAGGGGTTTATTGATTTGATGATTGAAATCCCAATTAGTATGATAGTCATAGACGGACTGTAATTAGCTTGTATCCATGTTAGATGGAGAGCTGCTTGCTTGACCTTGCAAAGAATGAAGTCCAAAGTTTGGTGAATCTTGTAAAAAATGAAGCTCAATATTTATGTTGTTTTAATAGTTATGTTGAAAATTTTGATCGAAGAAAGAAAATACTAGTTGCAAAGCATGAGGATGTGAAGAGAGAGTTTCAAAAACGGAGAGGTGCGTTTAGTTTTAAGTCTGAAGCGCAGCAATGGGAACGTGAAGCAAATGACATCATCAGTATCAATATAGATACTAAAATAAAGAAGAAATTCTTTTTTGGCTGGTGTCCTAATTGTTGGTGGCAATATCGAAGAGGAAAGGAGTTAGCAGAGAAGACTCAACATATTAAAGAATTATTGGGAAGATGTAATTCCAATATAGTAGCTGGTCAAGCAAATGTATCAGACATAAGACACCTTTCTGCACAAGATTACATTCATTTCGAGAGCAGAGAGTTAAAGTTCCAAGATCTTTTGAAAGCATTACAGGATGAAAACAGCAATATGATTGGATTACAAGGGATCGGTGGAGTAGGCAAAACTTCAATGGCAAAAGAAGTGGGTTATAAACTAAAAGAATCTAAATCAATTGACAAATTCATCTTTCTTATTGTCTCCAGGCCTCCTGATTTCAAAAAGATTCGTGGTGAACTTGCAAAAGGTTTAGATTTGAGTTTACAGGAAGTGAAGGAAGAAGAACTCTCAAGTACAATATTGTCTAGAATCACTAAAATGGACAAAAAGTTACTTATAATACTAGATGATGTATGGGAAAAGTTTGATTTGATAGAGAACTTAGGGATTCCATCTGGCCACAAGGGCTGTAATTTATTGATAACCACACGTAGTTCATATGTTTGTAAAGAAATGGGATGCCAAGTGATTGACCTACATATGTTAAACAACAAAGAGGCATTGAAACTTTTTGAAGCACATGCTAATATGAATAATTCCACCCGTGGTTTGAAGGGTATGCCAGAAAAAATTGTGACGCATTGTGGAGGAATACCAGTTGCAATTGTAGCAATAGCTAGAGCATTAAAAAATCAACCAGCAGCAATTTGGAAGGATGCTTTGAAAACCTTGGAAGATCGTGTTGTTGATCAGAATTTGGAAGAGGCTTGTAAATGCTTGAAGTTAAGCTATGATAACTTGAAAAATCGAAAGTCCAAAGAGCTTTTTCTTATATCTTCTTTGTTCCCAGAAGATTGGCAAGTTCCTATACAAGTTTTAACCAAAATTGGTACGGCTTTGGGTTCTTTTGGGGAAAATGATAGATATCATTTAGCAAGAAGTGAAGTGCATGGAGCTATAATGGAACTCATAGATTCCTCTTTATTATTGCATGGACAGCAGGAATGTGTAAAGATGCATGATTTAGTTCGTGAAGTGGCTTTGTGGATAGGAGATAGAGATATTCAATCTCTCATAGATTTGAAAATGCCTGTGAAAGAGAGTTTGAGATATTTGCTTTGGAAGAATGATGATTTTCCTAATAAATTTGAAGGAAGTAAATTGGAGGTTCTATTATTATTTTTAGATGGCTCAAAGGAGTTCAAGGTCTCGGGTGCATTCTTTAAAGAGATGATGAGGCTCAAAGTTTTGGTTTTATTCTATAATTATTTCAAAAGAACTCCAGCTCTATCGTGGATAAATTCACTCCAAGCATTGAAGGACATTCGAACACTCATTCTTGAGAATTTGGATTTAGGTGACATCTCTATCTCCTTAGGAAACTTGTTGAGTGTTTGGACTATTGGGCTTTATGATTGTTCAATCAATGAATTACCAAGTGAATTTTTGAAACTAAACAAGTTGAGATCATTGGAGCTAGAAGGATGTGAAATTGAAAAGAATAATCCTTTTGAAGTGATTAAGAGATGCTCACAGTTAGAAGAGTTAACTTTTGTTGCTAACAGGTGTGAAAATGAAGAAAAAGATGCAATTTCTGAAGATGTATCTCCTCTTACATTACACAGATATTGTATATCTTCTAAGGACCTTTCAGATTATTTTGAGAAGTATGGTTCCATGTCAAGATGCGTTCGAATAGATGATCAATTAAGTCATTTAGTCTCAGAGGCAACATTTAAGCAACTTGTCAGAAGAGCTGAACTTCTTATGTTGGAAGGAAAGGATGCGCCAAGAATATGGAAAAATTCTATCCTTGATGATATTGTTGCAACAGATGATCGAGGCATGATGAATGATTTGATTGTTCTTCATTTGAGTTCATGTCCTCATATGGAGTTCCCCATAGATACTAAAGATCATGATTCTGGTGTGGCTGGTTTCTGTAATTTGGTTGGAATACATCTCTCTGAAGTAGGAGTTGAAGATTTACATCATGGTCCTCTACCGTCTGGCGTTTGGGAGCAATTAGAGATTATGAAGTTGAACAAGTGTCATAGGCTGAAGAGCATATTATCTAATGGGAACTACAACTTATGTCATCTTAAGTCCATGAAACTGGAGGATTGTCCAATGTTGGTGTCAGTCTTCCAACCATCCACTGCACGAAGTCTGATGAAGTTGGAAAAATTAACAATTAGGGACTGTAGTGCATTGGAATACATCATAGTGAGTGAAGACCGTGATAGAAGTAATCAAAAGAGTTACCATGACTCATTGTTCCCAAAATTGAAAAAACTTCGAATTGCACGGTGCAGCAAATTAAGAATAATATTACCAATCCTATTCGCAGGAGGTCTTGCATCTTTGGAAATGTTGGTTGTATATAAATGTGAGCAGCTGGAATACATATTTGATAAGTTCCAAGAGGCGGAAGAAGCCATGCTCCCCTCACTGAAAGAGTTGGAACTTTTAAAAGTGCCAAGTTTCATTGGAATGTGCAAAGAATATCACCCACTCATGGGCCCACTGATGCAGAAGCCATCACCTCCACTTTCAACACATAATTCCAACAACATAAATCAAAGTCCTGCCAGACGTGCATTCTCTTGGGTTCAAGCATGTTGTTCTCTCAATAAATCGAGGCCCGCCAGTGAAGATACCAAAATTACTGTTTCTGAGCAAAGACCGCATGACCGCACAATCCCACTGGTATGCTACACTTGCCTCACTATTTTTGTTCAACTGTCTCTCTCAAATAAATGGTTTACAATTAAATAAAATAAGGCCTGAGTGTTAAAATTAAATATCTATTGTGATCCTTGTTATGACATATCATTCAAAAGTAGTTTGAAGTACTAACCTTTTAGGGGTGATATTAACATTTGTTACCAAAAATGACTTCGAACAAAATAACAATTATTTTCAGAAAAACGTTATTTGGCTTCGTATTTATTTGAGGAAAAACAAAAGCTTTTAGTTCTCAAAGTTTCAATTAATTTGATGTTTTAATTACCATTAATTTGATCTTAAGGAATTCAAAATGTTAAATGAAATATCTTTCAAGATTCGAGTACCAAATATACGAGGATAATTTAACTATTTATTTAATGAAACTGTATGGACCAAATTAATATTAGTTAAGACATATAGATCAAATTGCAAATACTTTACTGATTATTTATTTTGGAATGTAAGAATGATTTATTGCAAATATTTTACAGATTCCAATGTTTTTTAGACAGATGAATTTGAATACCACACGGGCAATAAACATTTTAAAGTAAATGTTTTGATATTATTTGTTGTATATTACTGCATAAAAATTATTGCATCTTTAAATTTTATTGATTGTTTGCTTTTGGAATACGAATGATTTATTTTAGCGATTGATATTTTGTTTAAAATATTTTTATTTATTATGTATTAATGTATATTTAAACTTTATATATTGTTTGTTTTGGAATAAGATTGATTTATTTTCTTGCCGATAACTTTCTAAAGATTTGTGTTTATAGAAACTAGATCCATCCATATGTGGAGTTTTCCCTTTCCACATAGCTCAAATCCCAAATGGACTGTGTTCTTTGGTTAACTACTACTTCTCATACTAATATTAATTATAACACCGCATTCAATTTATTTAATATTTTTAAATCATTTATGTTTAATTATTTGACTTATATATGAGGATAATTTAATTATCTATTCAGTGAAACTGTTCGGACCAAATTAATACTCCTCCGATCCTTAATACACGACTTATTTAACTAATTAGATTAGATTAAGAAAGTTAGGTAAATTAGTTAATTATAAGAAATATAACTTGTTTTTCCTAAAATACCATAATCATCTTTCTTAATATCCCCTCTTCCTCTTCTACTTGATTATAGTTAATGGAGTATTTATAAGAGTAATTTAAAAATAATAATAAATATGATGTGAAGAAGAGCATGACGACATTGTGGATTTGGTGAATAATGCCGAAACGAATATTATTGATTAAATTGCCAACACTTATAATACAAAGCATGCACCCATAATGGGCTAAGTAACTTGGGCTTACAACCCAGTACACTCAACTATAGTCTCTTAACACCCCCTCAAGTTGGGGGCTATACAAACTAACAGCACCTAACTTGCGTATCAACCTCTCATGGGCCTCACTACCTAGAGCCTTTGTCAAGACATTTGCTAGTTGATTCTTACTACTAACATGTTGTAAATCAATAACTCCTTGTTGTAGCTTCTCACGCACGAAGTAGCAATCTATCTCGATGTGCTTTGTCGTTCATGAAAGATAGGATTGCTTGCAATATGAATTGCAGCTTTGCTATCATAGTAGACTCTCACCGGCTCAAGTCCTCTAACATCCAGATCCTTAAGCATGCATGTCAGCCATGTGACTTCAGAAATAGCTGATCCTAAGGCTCGATATTCTGCTTCAGCTGATGACTTTGACACTGTTGGTTGCTTCTTAGACTTCCAACAGATTAGAGACCCACCAAATTTAATTAGGAACCCGGTTACTGATCTCCTTGTATCATGACAAGTTGCCTAGTTAGAATATACAAAACACTCCAAGTCTGTTCTGTTTGTTGCAGCGAGAAATATTCCCAATCTAGGATTGCCCTTCAAGTATCTCACAACACATGTTGCTACCTCCATATGAGATTTCCATGGGGCATTCATAAACTGACTAAGAGTCTGCACAGCAAAACATATATCAAGTAGAGTCATAGTAAGATAAGATAACCTACCCACTAGACGTCGATATGTTGAAGGTTCTTGAAGAAGAGGATCCAAGTCTGCCTGAAGTTTTTGTTTCCTTCTGTTTGTCTTGGTGGACTTCATTTGAATTCCTTGAATTCATAACCTGATATTTCTCTCCATAGAGACTTTCAACGGTTTGGCTAAACTTAAACCTATATCTGAAATGAGATCTAAAGCATATTTTCTCTGATTGAGGATGATGCCTTCTTAGACCTTGCCTAATCCCAGAAAGTATTTAAGTTCTCCCAAGTCTTTAATTCTAAACTTTCAATGCAAGTGATTTTTTATCTCATTAATTTTGTCAATGCTGTTTCCAACAACTACAAGGTCATCAACATAAGCCAAAACCATAGTAATCTCATGTTTGTTCTATTTAACAAAAAAAAGGAATAATCATATCTACTTTGCCGAAACCCCCTTGTATCAAAGCCTCAATAAGCCTGGCATTCTATTGTTTGGATGCTTGCTTGAGGCCATATAAAGATTTGTTCAGTTTGCATACTTTGGTGTCGGCAAACTGATCAAACCCTTAGGGGATTTTCATGTAAACTTCCTCATGGAGGTCCCCTTGTAGGAATGCATTATTGACATCCATTTGAATAGATGCCAACAATGCTGCAAGAGTTAAAATACATATAACAGTAACCATCTTGACAAATGGAGAGAAAGTCTCAAAATAATCAATTCCCTCTTGTTAACTATACCTTTTAGCCACTAATCGGGCCTTATATCGTTCAACACTACCATCAGATTTATACTTAACTTTGAAGACCCATTTACATCCTATGGCCTTTTTACCTTTCAAAATGTTAACAATCTCCCAAGTGTGGTTCTGTTCCGGTGCCTTCATTTCATCTCTCATGGCACTTATCTACTTGGGGTCTTTTGCTGCATGCTCAAAGCTAGAGGGCTCAACAACATTGTCAGTGGACATTAAATATTGTTTATAATCAATAGAAATATGAGCATAAGTGATATACTCATGTAAAGGATACCGATATTTTACCTTCTCCTTGGTAGTGACTACATCTCCCAAGCATATGTAGTCATTCAACCAAGAAGGAGATTTTCTCTCTCTGGTTGGCCGATGTGATCTTCCATGTGGTGTTCAGTGTCAACAATAATTTCATCACCGTGATTATCAGTATATTCAGTAATATCAGGAGCATTAGTGATAGTGGTTTGTTCATGACCAGATTTGACAGGAATGTGTTCATCATACAGAAAGTAATTTGATACAGATTTGCTAAACTCATTTTCTGAACTACCAGACAAGGCATCTTTGAAAGGAAATTTATTTTCCACAAAAGTTACATGTCAACTTACAAACAAAATCTTTGTTTTGAGGTTATATAATAAAAATCCCTTTTGGGCAGCAGGATATCCCATAAAAGTACATGCCTCAGCCCTAGGTTGAAATTTATTGGCATTAATCTGAGAAATAGCAAATGCAAGACAACCAAAGACCCTCAAATGATTCACATCAACCTGTTTTTGATATAAAAGCTCAAAGAGAGTTTTGTAACTCAGTTTTAGAAGGAGTTCTATTAATCAAATAAGAAGCAGTTTTGATACTTTCTTCCTAAAATTTAATTGGAATGCCAGAATGAAAAAGAAGACTTCTGGCCACATTGAGTAAGTGTCTATGCTTATGTTCAACCACTCCACTTTTATGTGGTGTATAAGGACAGGTGGTTTCGTGAATAATGCCTTTTTCATTGAAAATGTTTTTCAGTTTACTGTTAGTAAATTCTAACCCATTGTCAGTTCTTATTCGTTTTATCACAGTAGAGAATTGGGTATTAACATAAGTCATGAAATTTAACAGCAACTGAAAACTATCGCTTTTATTGATCATCAAGAAAGTTCAAGTACATTTAAAGAAGTCATCAACAATAGTAAGAAAGTATCCATGTCCTCTATATATAGGTTCCTTGCAGAGACCCCAAATATCAACATGTATCAGTTCAAAACAACAAGTAAAAGAAACAAAATGAGAGAAAGGAAGTCTCGCTTGTTTAGCAAGAGGACAAACATCACATTTGGGACTAGACAAATCTATGTTGTCTTTCTTTATCATATCTAAATGCTTGAGAACCTCTACGGGTGCATGTCCTAATCTATAGTGCCATGGTTGAGATATCTCCTTTGTGTCATTGGATTGAAAATTCACAAGAGCATTGTCCAAGTTTAAAATTTTGCCAGCAAATATAGTCCACTACAAATTCTACCAATCACCTGAGACTTTCCAGTTAAAATCTCCTGCAATGTACAAAACTCAAGGTAAAAAGAGACAATACATTACAGTTCCTTAGTTAGTCTAGACATAGAGATAAGGTTATAGCAGCATGCAGGAGTATAATAAAGATCACACAATGTAATGTTAGTAGAAAGTTTTATTGTGCCCTGTGTGTTACTGTGATCTTATTGCCATTTGGTAATCTAATTTTCCAAGGGACCAGAGTAGATTGTAGCACTATCTAACATAGTGAGACTGCTAACAACATGACATGATGCTCTAGAGTCTAATATCTAATGGGTTCTACAAAGATCAAAGGAGAGTGCATTAATATTACTAGAAATGTGCTCTCACTTTAGTCAAATGTGCCGATTATTTCTTCATTAGCGTCACTTTTCAGCAGCTGCAAGATCTTATTGTATTGTTGTTGAGTAATGGAGGCCTGGGTGCCTACGCTATTTGAAGATGCAGATGAATGAGATTTTTGTTCTGCTACTGCTTGGTTCAGTTGAGGGGTGGAAACTCTTCGACCTTTGAAGTTAGAAGTTAGGAGGATACCCAACTAATTCAAAATACTGCTCTTCCTTGTGGCCTCGGCGATGGCAATGACTACACTCATCCTGTGATCTTCCTCTACCACGTACTCTGCCTAATCTTCCCCCTCTAGTTGTAGTAGCAGCTGCCTCAAATGGACTATAGGACTGATGTGAGCATATGAGTCGCTGATCTTCATCTTGGGAGATCATAGCATATGCTTGATTAACATTCAGCAATGGAGACATGAGTAGAATTTGCGATCGAGCTTGTTGAAAGCAATCATTTAATCCCATCAGGAATTGAAAAAGGCATTGCCGCTGCACTATCCTAATATATTCCTGGGAGGTTTCACATTTGCGGGTAAGCAAAGGTACCAACAATGCATACTCATCCCACAATTCCTTAACTTTGGTGTAATATGCAGATACTGTGAGAGTCCCTTGGGTTATAGAAGAAATGGCTTTCAGTAGGGAATAAATCTTGGCACCATCGACTTTGTGAAATCTCTCTTTGAGATCAGCCCAAACCGTGTGTGCATTGTCAGCAAACACTATCCCATTAGCTATCTCCTTGTCAACGGAATTGATGAGCCAAGAAAGAACCACTGTATTGCAACGGTCCCACTATTCCTTATGATGCGGTTCATCAACACGGATATAGGTGCCTTCAATGAAACCCAGTTTGTTTTTACCTTGTAAGGCCAGAAGCATAGCATGGTTCCAAATGATATAATTATTGGAACCAGTAAGTACTTGAGAAACCAGAGTGGTCGCTTGGGTGTCGGATGGATGTAAGAAGAGAGGATGATTCGCATCGATCACTGGAACATTGGAGGTCATTTTCTCAGTCATTGTAGCGAGTTCTTGGAGAATCTTGGGTCTGATTATAGAAATTGATCAGTGAGACAGAGAAAAATCTGGGAAGCTGTCGCGAGTCGCTTGCGCAATAGATGATGATCACGAAATCGTTGAAATTTTCAGAGTCGCTGTGGCAACAGACCGTGGATTCTTGATTTATTTCAATGAGGAAGCCGCAAAAAGATTAAGTGGCGGTTTCGCGTGCTGTCCTTGGTGAGTCGAAGCTTTGTGAAACGGTGAAATGAATATTGATTCAGGAAAAATTGTGAAAGCCAACTGGATCACGATCTTGACTTTGTGATCTGCAGATGGTGTTTCTAAAACGATAACGTTGCAACACTACAACGATTTGTGCAGGCAAGGAGACAATGGGCCTTCGACTTTCGCCTTGGATATGGACTCAATCACCGAACCAGGCTTGTGATACCATGTGAAGAAGACCATGAAGACATTCTCGATTTGGTGAACAATGCCGAAACGAATATTATTGATTAAATTGCCAACACTTATAATACAAAGCATGGACCCATAATGGGCTAAGTAACTTGGGCTTATGGCCCAGTACACTCAACTATAGTCTCTTAACATATGAGAAATAAATCTTATACTTATGATCAAAATTAACTTAATAATGTTCATCCAAAAAAAAAAACCCAATAATTAAGTCTCATATTAAGGACCGGAGGCGTATTAGTTAAGAAATATGGATCAAATTGCAAATACTTTGCCGATTATTTGTTTTGTAATAAGAATGGCTTATTTTATTAGTTATTTTTATGTTAAAAATATTTTAATTTGATTTACTATGTATGTACTATATTCAAATTTTGCATATTGTTTACTTTGGAATAAGAATGATTTACTGCAAATATTTTACGGATTCCAATGTTTGTTTGGACAGTTGAATTTCAATACCACACGGGCAATAAACATTTTAGATTAAAAATTTTATTGTATTTGAATCATTTTACTCAAAATTTTGTTAACAGAGTATAAAATATATCGAATGCGGTAATAGAACTAATAAAGCGTTTGACTAGTTATGCATAAAAATATATTTGAAAAAAAATGAAAGGATCGGACATTATTATTTTGATCCATTGTTACGCTCTGATATTATTTGTTGTGTATTACTGCATAAAAATTATTGCATCTTTAAATTTTATTGATTGCTTGCTTTTGGAATAAGAGTGATTTATTTTAGCGATTGATGTTTTGTTTAAAATATTTTTATTTATATGTACTAATGTATATTTAAATGTTATATATGGTTTGTTTGGAATAAGATTGATTTATTTTCTTGGCGATAAATATAACTTTCTAGAGATTTGTGTTTATAGGAATTAGATCCACCCACATGTGGAGTTTTTCTTTGCCACGCAGCTCAAAGCCTTTTGGTGCAATCATTGAAGAATGTTACGAAAATAGAACTTACAAATTGTGGAAACATAATATCACTGTCAACTTTATGCATTGCGGCCTCAACAATTTCGTTGGAAAGTTTGTCAATCAGGCAATGTCATAAACTGAAGTGCATCACAACACATGAGGGAGATGCTGAAGTTGATAATAAGAATTATTGTTCCATTTTCCCAACACTAGAGAATCTGTATATTCGGGATTGCGAGGAGTTGGAATTTGTATTTCAATCATCAATATCTGGTGGTCTTCAAAAATTGAAGTCTTTGTATATCAAGGAAGTTCCTGAACTGAAATATGTTGTTGGGAAATACCAGCAAGATCAGCAAAATGAAGAGCTACATTTCGATCTCCCTGCTTTGGCGACCCTTTGCATTGAAGATGCGCCGAAGATCAAAAGCATTTGCGCCAAGAATTATAAGATGGATCTGTCATCTCTTCAGAATGTTAGGATGTGGCATTGCGGCATTAAATCTTTGGATGATTCTGACATGGTGAATCTGACAACTACAGAGGTACACTCTCTTTAACTTTTGTACATATGATTTGTTCTTTTTTCCTGCTCAATTCAGCTTTTAGATTAATTGTTTATTAACAAATATTGAGTTAATTGTTGCCTAACAAGGGTGATGTTAATATATGGTTACTAATAAAGACTTCGAATAAAAAAAGGTTATGAATGGATTATGCAAGTTAACGCATAAAATTACGTCATTTAGCTCCATAAATATTTATATTTGGGAAAATGAAACTTTTATTACTCAAAGTTTCAATCCGTTTGGTGTTTTAATTAGCATTAATTTGGTCTTCATGATTTCAAAATGTCAAATAAAATATATATCAAGCTTTGAGTTCCTTATTGACATCAATACAGTTTCAGTTAATGTGCTGTGTTCTTTTTTCAACCACTCGTATACTTAGGTATATGGATAATTTAATTATTTATTTAATGAAATTGTATGGACCAAGTTAATATTAAATAAAACATTTGGGTCAAATTGCAAATCTTTTACAGATTCCGATCTTTATCCATATGTCGGACAGAATAACACACAACGGTGATAGTCATTTGAAATAGAAAAGATTTTTTTTCCATTATAAACATTTTATGTAATTTTTCATTGACAAATTATCAAATGGAATGGGGCGTAAGGAAGCTCATAAAGAGTTGAATTAGGTTTTTATTTGCTCTCATATTATTTGTTGCATATGATATGACTACATAAAAAATTTACACGTTCAAATTTTCCTGATTGTTTTTTTCAATAAATCTTCACTGATTGTTTGTTTTGGAATAAGAATGATTTATTTTACTAACTGTTGTTATGTTAAAAATATCTTTGATTTATTATGTATTATTATGTATTCCAATCTTGCATATTGTTTATTTTAAAATAAGAGTCATTTATTCCGTTGGTTATAGATATAACTTTTTAAAGATTTGTGTTTGTAGGAATTAAATTCATCTACAGGCAGAGTTCCTCCTTTCCATGCATCTCAAATCTTGTTGGCGCAATCATTGAAGAATATTAGAAAAGTATACCTATGCCAATGTCGGAACTTAATATCATTGTCAACTCTATCCCTTGCCTCTACAATTTTGTTGGAAGATTTGACAATTGAATATTGTGATCAGCTGAAGTGCATTGTAGAAGATGAGGCAGATATTGGAACTCGCATGAACTACAATTATTCCATCTTTCCAAAGTTGAAAAGTTTAGAAGTTTCGGACTGCAACGCATTGGAATATTTATTCCCAGCACATGCTTTCAGATGCCCTGCATGTTTGATGAGAAGCCTACCAATGTCGCAGAAGCTCAGTATATCAAAATGTGAAGAATTAGTTAACATTGTTGAAGAAGATTATGAAAAAAATGATCATCATCATCATTTGTGCCGTGAACCATGCTTTCCCAACTTAGAACAAGTCTCTGTCAGTGATTGTGACAAACTGAGGCACCTGTTCTCTATCCCTATTTCTGGTATCCTTCCAAAACTAAGATATCTGTGGATAGATGGAGCCAATGGACTTGAGCATGTACTGGTAAGACAAGGAGAGATGAAAGAGATGGCCATGAAGGATGTGCTTCCACAACTAAGTCGATTGGTGCTCATGCATCTTCCTAGCCTTGCTAGTCTCTGCTATGGGATTGATTTTCAAACTTTGAAAGGAGACGATGACACGGAAGTGGATGATTGTCCCAAGTTTTCCTTTTATGGTATGCATTCAGAGAAGTATTTATTCTCTATAAAATTGAAAATTATTATATGAGTTTTATTATAACATTAAAAATCTTACTTTCAGAAATTTCAACTACCCAGCTTCAAGCATGTCCTGAAGCAACATGTTCTCAAGTTGAAGAAAAAGCAGAGAAGAACCTTTCTTCTCATCTCAATAGTGAACAATCTTTACATGTGGGAGAAACAACACAACAATCCCTCACGGAGGTATGATTTTGACTGCTAATGGCATCATTTTACTGCTTCTCCAGTGGTCCCCCTCATCATTATATGTATGCGTGATTATATTAATTTTGTCGCAATGGTCGGAGAATTCTATCCTTTTTTATGAGAAAAACAGAGTTTGAGTATCATATTTAAAATGCTGAAAATACACCCACGCGAGGGTACACACTAGTGTGGTGTATTCCAACTGCTTAATGAATTTGACATGAACTGGAAAAAAGGAAAAAAAAAAACTTCGATTGATTTTTTGTTACGTCATTTGATTCTAATTTTACGAGGTGGCAGACCTTTAAGAATTTATTTTAATTTTATTAAGGAGTGGGTTGGAAATCTGAAATAAAAAAAAAAGTAAATAACAATTTTTTTTTACGAAGGAAATAAATAAAGTTACTGTCAAACCTTATTTAGGTTCACTAATTAAAAATGTTTAGCCATTTGAGAACCACTTATGATCCCTTAGAATCCCAGAAAGGCCAACAATTAAAAAATTTTTCCCCAAAACACTCTAGGTTCTATCACTAATGCTTTCCTATTATTGGGATAAGATTTTCTAAAATATTTAAAAATTTATAACTAATGCAATATAGCTCCAAAAATAGTGGTTCATAGCTTTAACTTTAGCTCTTGAAAAAGCTTTATGCTCTAACTAATTCTTAGCTCCCCCTACCCCCAAAAAAAATAATAATAATGTGCTACATTTAAAACTATTGGAGCCTTTAAATTAATCAATGTTCATTTTTATCTGCCTTAAGCATGCAGGCTGAACAGGGCGGCTTTACAAATTTAATTTTGTGTCTAATATTCCCAAACTTAGGCTAGAGACTTGCAACTACACCTCTTTGCTAAGCTCATTATCATATTCGAGTTTAACCAAAACTTAACTTCCGCTTACAAAAAGTATGCTATCCAAAACAGGGCTTTTAGACATGCCTTTGGTGTAGTTTGGGAATTTAAAACACTTGTAACAACATATCAAAACTACATTTAAACCTCTTTGAGTCACAACTTTGAGTCCAAACAGGGGATAAGAACTAAAGTTCAGAAGGCTAATGCTTTGATATTCCTATTGCCCATCTAATCACTATGTGGGAGCCACCAAACCCTTTACCTGGGCATTTCATGATCATCCGCTTCAAAAGTTTTGGACAGCCTTCCCTTTACATTTTAAAATTTTCCAGATTCATAAACTCCTCTTTTAAATACATTGAGGGGTTTAGACTATATATTCAACCAAACCTAATTCTCTCTATGCCAATTACTTTGACAGAGCAAGGGAAGAGGATAAAACTTGGTTTAAC